ATTTAGGAATGATGACCCTTGGCCCCTTGCACAGTATACCATCCTGAATGGCGATTTCATCTCTGAAAGTCCAATATTCTCTCACAAGTAATGGCACTTCCAACTTGGAATCAGGCCAACCATTCAGAACAACATATTTAAGAGCCTGCAAACTCTCATCAGTTTCAGTGTGCTGTTTTATCTGAAGCAATCGTTGGTCTGTGACGTTTAAATAGTCTGAATGATTAATCTGTGACAGGACATCCAGGTCCTGTTGAACATTGCAAACTGTGTGTTGTGCATACTCAGGTGTACCACCTGCTGCTGTAGCTCTGCTAAGAGTGTCACTAATGTACATTTCAGGACCAGGTTTATAGACAACATTTAGGCAATAGTTTTGTAATGTGAGCAACATGCTCTGTAGACGTTTGGGTGCACACAAAAGGGGTTTCTTGAAAATAGAAATCAGAGGTTTATGGTCAGTTTCTGCCATGATCTCGTCGCGCCCATGGAGGTAGTGATGAAAGCGCTGACAGGCAAACACTATACTCAGACACTCCTTTTCTATTTGTGCGTAGTTTTGTTCGGTAAGAGTCAGTGCCCATGAAGCAAAAGCGATAGGCTGGCCAGCTTGCAATAGGCAACACCCAAGTCCAGTTTTGCTTGCATCACTTTGAATAGTTACAGATTTTGTAACGTCATAGTACTTCAGGACAGGTGTGTCCGTGACCAAGCGTTTGATGTCCTGCACTGCATTATCATGCTTAGGAAGCCAATGCCAAACAGCGTCCTTGTCCAGAAGCCTTCTCAATGGCTCGCAGACCTCTGAGAGGTGTGGTAGGAATTTTGCTAGGTAGGTAACAAATCCAATGAAGCGCTGCAGGGATTTCACATTTTCTGGCTGCGGCATATCCAGTATGGCTCTGATTTTTTCTGGGTCAGCCTTCAAACCCTCCCAGGTTAGAATGTGTCCATGAAAGCGGACCTCTTTGACCTTGAATTGCAGTTTTTTCATGCCAAGTCTCAATTTTACCTGCCTACAACGATTCATCAGTTCCAGCAGTTTGCCATCATGATCTTGCTCTGCTTCCTCATCTGTGTCCCCACAGCCAACCACAAGGATGTCATCAGCTATTGGTTCAATACCACCGAGTCCAGCCAATAGTTCATGTTGTTTACGTTGATACACCTCTGGTGCAACTGATACTCCAAACGGCAGTTTGAGCCATCTTTTCCTGCCCCACGGAGTCCAGAAGGTGGTCATGTAACTACTTGCATCATCCAACTTACACTGTAAAAATGCATCCCGGGCATCAACAAGTGTGAACAGACGTGCCTTTGGCAGCTTGTACAAAACATCCTCGAGAGTTGGCATTATGTAGTGAGATCGTCTCAGTGCCATATTTAAGAATTTGGGATCTATGCATATTCGTAGCTTATTTGGCTTCCTTACAATCACCATGTTACTTATCCAGTCAGTTGGGTCAGTCACTGGTGCCAAGTGTCCATTGGCCTCATACTGGTCAAGCTGAGCCTTAACTGCTTGTTTTAACGCCACCGACACATTGCGTGGTGCACATTGGACTGGAGGGACACTCACATCAAGGTCGAAATGAACTTCCCCTGGTACAGATTCCACTGGCCCAGTAAACACATCACTAAATTCCTTTAGCAGCAGTTGTTTTTGTCAAGGGCCCCTTGGATAGATTGTCCATCACATTAAGCTCTGCAGGGACGGAGAAACGTATCAGCCCTAGACGCTCACAGGTTGAGCCAGACAACAGTGGCTTTTGGCAGGCTTCCACAATTTCAAACTCCAGCTTGTGTGTCAGTCCACGTATGGCACATTCTGTCTTGAAGAGCCCTAGAGATTTCATAATCGCACCTGAGTATAACTTAAACTTGGTGTCACTTGGCAGTAGACGTGCTTCTGGTGCTAACACCATTTTGTCTCAAGCACATTACATCACAAGTTGCTCCTGAATCGAGCTGGCAGGATTGGGGCTTATTATTTAAATGTAAAGTGACAAACCATTTCTTTCCTCTGGATTGCACAGTGCCGATCAATTCACTGCTGTATATAACTTCAGTGGTTTGTGTCTCTTCCTCATATGTGGATGTGTTCTCCACATTGTGTAATTTGCCTATTGATGGCCGTCGTTTACTTGACAAACAAACGTTAGCAAAATGGTTTGTTCTTCCACAAGACTTACAAGACTTCCCATAAGCTGGACACTGCTCTTTAATTCTTTCATGCACAGTCCCACAGTATTTGCAAGCCGTAGGGTTGGCAGTATTTGTGCTAATCAGGCAGCGTTGCTGCGGTTTGTTTATGTTGCGATGCTGCATTGCAATGTTTATGCTGTCGGTCTGCTGTCTGTTCTGTTCCATAACTTTCAGACGTCTGTCAGTGAGCTCTGCTGTACGGCATGTCTCAGTGGCTGTGTTTAGAGTTAAATCATGTTCTCTTAGGAGGCCTGCGTGTGCTCTCGCTAGCTATACCAAGAACAATTTTGTCCCTTATCAATTCGTCTCTGAGTGTGCCATATTCACAAGTTGCTGCCTTTACTCTCAAGCGTGTAACAAAGTTATCCAAAGATTCTCCCTCTTCTTGTTTGCAGCATCCAAACACATACCTTTCATAAATGACATTTTTAGCAGGTTTGAAATAAGCTTCCAGTGCATTTAGAATGGCTGTAACATTGTTATGCTGATCTGCTGTGAGGGTCAGATTGTGTTTATACACATGCCTGCGTTCACTGCCCCTGACTCTTCTCAGGATTGCTGCCTGCACTACTGCACATTTCTCATTCAAGCCTGTAGCCAGAGAATAATCTTCAAATTCAGCTCTCTGAAAGATTCCCAATTGCTGCTCCAATCCCCACTCATTGTCATCCCTCTGGGGGAGGTATGCAATTCATGGCAGCCATAATGTCAGTAAGCCTCTGAGCTATCAAATATCAGAAAATCCTCAGTCTCAGGCCGTAGTTCACAAACCTGTGTTTCCCAAAGCTGCTGTGCTCCAAACAAGAGGCTCAGACCTGATTCCAGTCACTTCTGACACCATGTTTCATGTACAGGAATGCAGACAACACAAGATGCTGGTGAGAGGAATCATGTTGTACAACAGAACTACATCCAGGTCAGCATAGAACAGCAAACAGGAAGTATAAGGCAATGCAATATTACCATATGCAAGTAGGGTCACAGTATTTGCATAATAACTCTATAACACCTGGGGGGCCCCAAGAAATTCCCCTAATTTGCAGAGATTTCATCTCACTTCCTGTTTGGCTATGAGACAGCAAATGAAGGGAAATCACTGCAAGGGGACACAGATGGTGAAAAAAAAACTGACAGGGATTATAACCCTCCCTTGCTCTATCCAAAATGAAAAAAAAAAAAAAATTTGCCTAAAGTTTTACTTTAACCCCTTGACGCCGACATAACAAAAATATGCGGCCGCATGGAACCAGGCTTTTTTCTGTGGGGCCGCATACTTGTATATCTGTCCTTGTGCTTGCAGCATGCCGCACAACGAACTCCCAACACAAACACCGGGGGGTCACTGAGAGCTTCGGGTCCCGTACTAACAATCAGGACCCGATCGCTGTGATAGCCTCTGATCAGTCAGTGTGAAGCCCACCCCCGTGTTTTCTTTCTCTCTGAATGGAGGAAAAATAAATAAAATATACATATTAAAATATAAAATAAAATAAACCTAGATCAAGGTTTGACCTAGGTCAGTGGCAGGGTTAGTGTTTGGGTGAAAGGTTAGGGTCAAAGATCAGGGTCAAAGGTCAGGATTTGTTAAATTTTTTAATGTTTTTTTTTAATTAGTATCAGTATGTGGTATCACTGCATTCATCAGGAGCTGGAGAATTTATTTTGGGTTGTTTTTGGTGGTAGGTTTTAGTAGTAACAAGAATCACACAGCTAAATTTACAAAAAAAAAAAAAAGATTTTTTTTTTCACTATTTTGGGCCAGTTTTCCTTTGATAATGAAAAAAAGTCAGGAGAAATCTATTACTATTTACCACCAAATGAAAGCCCAATTATCCTGAAAAAGAAAAAAAAAAAGAAGGTATAATCCACCTGGATATACACAGCAGTTGTGGTTATATGTACGGTTTTACTAACACATGTCAGTTGCAAAATGTTACTTAGGAATTAAGATTTGTTTTACCCGTAGGTGTGAAGGGGTTAAACAATATTTTTCCAAATAGCACAGTTCATTTTAGAGCCCTGGGGCCCCTTGTCTGCATTGGCCAGTTTATGTGAAAGATGAGCGTAATCTTTAGGGCCCGTTCACGCTACAAAAACGCACGCGGACTCCGGATGCATTCCGGAAACGTTTTTGCTTACAGTTCACACCACACACAGTTCCGGCGCAGTTTTGATGCAGTTGGCTATGTTCCAGTATGGTTCTGTGCAGAAAAAATGCAGCATTTTCTACTTTTATTTCTGCACTGGAAATTGACTGGAACTGACTGCACTGGTGTGAACCAAGGCCATTGGAATACATGGAAAACACTGTGCATGCTTTTTTGATGCAGAAAATAAAATGCACTGTATTGCATCTGGTGTGAACTAGCCCTTAGGGCTGGTTCACACTATAGAAATGCAGATGCGTTCTGGATGCGTTTTTGCGTGTGCATTTTTGACCGTTTATGGCGCATTCTGGTGCATTTTTGATGCGTTCCAGTGCGTTTTTATGCATTCCAGTTCATTTTTTCCCCTATCGTTTTCTTCAATTTAAATAGGGACATGTGCATTCCAGTGCGTTTTGGTGTGTTCCAGTGCAGTTCTGTGCAGAAAAAATGCAGCATGGTCTACTTTTTTTTCTGTAACCAGAACACGCTGGAACTGCAAGCACTGATGTGAACTATGACATTGACAACCATATAACCTACTTTCTGTGCGTTTTGGATGCTGAAAAAAAAGCAACTGAGAGGCATGTAGTGTGAACTGGCCCTAAAGCTGTAATAATTGTTCCGCTCTCTTCAGTTCTCCTCCTGAAGATGTCTTTCACTTTGTACCAGGGGCGGACTGACAATTCATGGGGCCCCCGGGCAATAGGGGATCATGGGGCCCCTGTGTCCTTGCCCAAACTCAAAAAAGCCTATGAAAAAGGTTCCAGGGGCATCTCATGGGGCCCCCTACTGACCCCGGGCCCTCGGGCAGTGCCCGAGTTTCCAAATGGTCAGTCCGCCCCTGCTTTGTATAGATGTACATTTGCTGTATACAGACAGGTACACACAGACATATTGACACTGTCAGTAAGAATCTGACAGACTGCCCTACGGGGATACAGATCAGATCATGTAATAGACGTCTCATGACACAATAAATGATGTCTGCACCTTGACGGTACTGAGCATTACCTGCCTCCTGACTCCCCATGTGTTATAAATGAAATATGTTATCAGGTAGACACCCCCCACCCCACCCCATTCACCGCATTGTCTGCAAAGGTGACACAACCTCCTAGAAAACCTCCTACATCATATTGCAACATCCTCCACTGTGCTTTATTACAAATGACCGGACACCCACAATAGGAAGGGCCAGGCCACTCGCCAAACAGGAGCGGAGCGCTTTATATTCCACGGAAAGTCCCTTCGACTTCGGGGTCAGTTAGTCATTTGTACAGAAGAAATACCTGAGTGATGTGGGATGCTGTGAAATCTGGGATTTATCAAAAAAAAATCTGAGTCACCTGACACCTGGTTTTTATACTTGGAAACTAACATGAATGCTCATTGTTAATGCCTTTGAAACGCTGAACAATTTTCAAGTAAATTGATTTACAGAACTTGCCCAGCCTGGCTCATCATCATTGCTACAATACGATTCATAGAACATTGACCACTTGCCCGACAAAGGATTTACCCCCCTTCCTGATCAAGCCATGTTTTGCATTACAGCGCTGCATTACTTTAACTGACAATTACGCGGTCATACAACACTGCACCCAAATGAAATATATGTCCCTTTTTCCCCACAAATTGAGCTTTCTTTTGGTGGTATTTGGTTGCCTGTGCGTTTCCTTATTTTTTGTGCTATAAACAAAAAAAAGATCGTTAATTTTGAGAAAAAAAAACAATATTTTTGACTTTTTGCTATTAAAAATGTCCAGTGAAAAAATGTAAAAAAAACTAATTTTATCATAAATTTAGGCCAAAATGTATTCTGCGACATGTCTTTGTTGAAAAAAAAAATCCCAATATGTGTAAATGAATTGGTTTACGTGAAAGGTATAGCGTTTACAAATGGCGGTATAGATACTGGGATTTTTTTTTCCCTACTAGTAATGGCGGCGATCTGCGACTTTTAGCAGGATTGCAGTGGTCATTCTGACACTGGGGGGGAACTAACTTGGTGTCACTGGCATCCCTAGTGAGACCAATACAGTGATCAGTGCTAATAAAAAGTACTGACACTGTTTTAATGACACTGGGCAGGAAGGGATTAACATCTGGGGCGATCAAAGGGTTAACTGTGTGCTGTTTTGCTGTGTGTGTGTTTCACTGTAAGTACATTGCTTTGTATGGCTCTGCAGTGTGCAGGAGCTGACAGGGGAGGAAATGTTTGGAGATCACCGAGTGCCGGCAGGGAATCACCGGCGGGGACCTGGTGACTGACAGCCGTGAATGGCGGCACGGGTAGGGCTCCTACCCGGAACTGCTAAATCACATATATACAGTGCATCAATACGTTGTCATTATGGTGTATTGTTTGTAGAATGTTGAGGAAAAAATTATTTAATCCCTTTTGGAATAAGGCTGTAACATAACAAAATGTGGCAAAAGTTAAGCGCTTTGAGTACTTTCTGGATGCACTGTATACATGATTTTGCGCACCCGTGCAAGCGGTTAATTGGACCTAAACTTTCTCAATCAACATTGACTATTTTTAATCCTTAGCTGCCGGCATTAGAAATAGACAGGAAGATGTGTTATATTTACTTGTTTTAAACATATTTTTACATTTCTTCAGTTGGTTTCTGGTCTAGGCCACAAAGATGTCATACATTCCAGGAATCTTCATGGGCATTTTTTCTTCTTTCATCTGGAGGAGGGGCTTTCTCAGCTAAGCATACCCTCCTGCCTGCATAGGTGCTCAGTGCATCCTGTTATATTGGTGGTCAATTCTCAGTGTGTCTTCTTATATTGGTGCTTTGTGTGTCCCCTCTATATTGGTAGTCAGTGGTCAATGTGACCCTTTACACTGGTGGTCGGTGTGCCACCTACACTGGTGATCAGTGTGCCCCCTACACTTGTGGTCAGTATGCTCCCTACTCTGGTAATCAGAATGTTCCACCTACATGATAGTCAGTGTGCCCCCTACACTGGTTTCAGTGTGTTCCACTTACAAGATGGTCAGTGGTGTCCATTACACTGGTGGTCAGTGAGCTTTCTTACACTGGTGGTCAATGTTCTCTCTTACAGTGGTGGTCAATGTTCTCCATTACACTGATGGTCAGTGAGCTTTCTTACACTGGTGGTTAGTGTTCTCCCTTACACTGGTGGTCAGTGTTCTCCCTTACACTGGTGGTCAGTGAGCTTTCTTACACTGGTGGTTAGTGTTCTCAGTTACACTGGTGGTCAGTGTTCTCCCTTACACTGGTGGTCAGTGAGCTTTCTTACACTGGTGGTCAGTGAGCTTTCTTACACTGGTGGTCAATGTTCTCTCTTACAGTGGTGGTCAATGTTCTCCATTACACTGATGGTCAGTGAGCTTTCTTACACTGGTGGTTAGTGTTCTCCCTTACACTGGTGGTCAGTGTTCTCCCTTACACTGGTGGTCAGTGAGCTTTCTTACACTGGTGGTTAGTGTTCTCAGTTACACTGGTGGTCAGTGTTCTCCCTTACACTGGTGGTCAGTGAGCTTTCTTACACCTGGTGGTCAGTGAGCTTTCTTACACTGGTGGTCAATGTTCTCCCTTACAGTGGTGGTCAATGTTCTCCATTACACTGATGATCAGTGAGCTTTCTTACACTGGTGGTTAGTGTTCTCCGTTACACTGGTGGTCAGTGTTCTCCCTTACACTGGTGGTCAGTGAGTTTTCTTACACTGGTGGTTAGTGTTCTCCGTTACACTGGTGGTCAGTGTGCTCTCTTACGCTGGTGGTCTGTGAGCTTTCTTACACTGGTGGTCAGTGTTCTCCATTGCACTGGTGGTCAGTGTTCTCCCTTACACTGGTGGTCAGTGTGCTTTCTTACACTGGTGGTCAGTGTGCTTTCTTACACTGGTGGTCAGTGTTCTCTCTTACACTGGTGGTCAGTGTGATTTATTACACTGGTGGTCAGTGTGCTTTCTTACACTGGTGGTCAGTGTTCTCCTTTACACTGGTGGTCAGTGTTCTCCTTTACACTGGTGGTCAGTGTGCTTTATTACACTGGTGGTCAGTGTTCTCCCTTACACTGGTGGTCAGTATGCTTTCTTACACTGGTGGTCAGTGTTCTCTCTTACACTGGTGGTCAGTGTTCTCTCTTACACTGGTGGTAAATGTGCTTTCTTACACTGGTGGTCAGTGTTCTCCCTTACACTGGTGGTCAGTGTTCTCCCTTACACTGGTGGTCAGTGTGCTTTATTACACTGGTGGTGAGTGTTCTCCCTTACAATGGTGGTCAGTGTGCTCTCTTACACTGGTGGTTAGTGTGCTCTCTTACACTGGTGGTCAGTGTTCTCTCTTACACTGGTGGTCAGTGTTCTCCCTTACACTGGTGGTCAGTGTGCTTTATTACACTGGTGGTGAGTGTTCTCCCTTACACTGGTGGTCAGTGTGCTCTCTTACACTGGTGGTTAGTGTTCTCCCTTACACTGGTGGTCAGTGTTCTCTCTTACACTGGTGGTTAGTGTGCTCTCTTACACTGGTGGTCAGTGTTCTCTCTTACACTGGTGGTCAGTGTTCTCTCTTACACTGGTGGTCAGTGTTCTCTCTTACACTGGTGGTCAGTGTTCTCTCTTACACTGGTGGTCAGTGTTCTCTCTTACACTGGTGGTCAGTGTGCTTTCTTACACTAGTGGTCAGTGTTCTCCCTTACACTGGTGGTCAGTGTTCTCTCTTACACTGGTGGTCAGTGTGCTTTCTGACACTGGTGGTGAGTGTACCCCACCTACTTGATGGTCATTGTGTATCCATATATGTAGTTTTCAATGTTTCCCATTATGTGGTCAATTTGTATTATTAAAGCAGTATTAACCCCAAAGCAAACATCTAATTTAATGCTGCATTTGTTTACTTTTTTAAACTTTCCTTTATTTTCATCTGGTGATCCAACCGATAAGTCTGTTGGTTTTTTTTTTCAAAAGAACATGCTCTCTTGCAGATGTATCAGTTAGAGGGATGGGACAAACCATGTACTACTCACAGGGGTGGTTACAATGATCAGCTATTTAATTTAATTAGTTATTTAATTATGTAAAACCTTAATCCTAAAAGGGAAAAAAAACGTAGCTGTAACCGTTTACAAAGTGGAGTTTTGGGTTCCATTTGTTATGGTGTCTAAATCTACTAGTACATCTAACACTGCCCTCCCTCCAGACTGACTATGCTGCTGTCCAAGGGTGCCTTCTGTGCTCCTTCATCCAGAGTGGGGGCACTCTAATACAGAAGGTGTATTACTGGCCAGATCACCAGATGAAAACAGAGGGGAAAAGACAAAAAAAGAAAATGAATGCAGTCACCACATCTAATGATTAGTAAGCTGCAATCAGGGGCGGACTGACAACTTATGGGGCCCCCGGGCAATAGGGGATCATGGGGCCCCTGTGTCCTTGCCCAAACTAAAAAAAGCCTGTGAAAAAGGTACCAGGGGCATCTCATGGGGCCCCCTACGGACCCCGTGTCCTCGGGCAGTGCCCGAGTTTCCAAATGGTCAGTCCGCCCCGGCTGCAAAATATTACATTTTTGGTTTTGAGTTTAATAATGCTTTAAGAGTAAGCAATACCCATGTAGGGGTACACCCACTTTTTCTTCTGTCATCTGGTATTGGCTGTCAGTGGTCATATGACATTTTCTCTGCCCTCATCTCCCTCCCTCTGTTTAAAAACTCTCTGCCCACTTAGTTGTCCCTAAATATTTGAAGGATTTGGTAAGGGGAAAAAGATTTTACATTACACTAAACCCTCTGCTTTATAACGTGCTCGGTAATATCAAGCAGTGCAGCATTTCTTAATATGTGTGCCAAACATGTACTTTCCTTACCAGCTC